TGTCTCAACTGAAAAGGAGATGAGGCTCACATTTCAGCCATTTTCCGGATTCGGATAAGGCACACAGCTGTCTGACCCGAATTATGGAACACGGTACCCACAGAACTATCGTCATGGACCACGCGCATTCGACCTTATCACCACCTCCGTCGCCCGCGGCGGCGCCGCTGCAGCAGCAGCGCGCCGTAGTTGTCAAGGACGACAGACAGCGCGCAGAATGTTGCCATGAAGGTGAACACAACCACGCGGAAGAAGAGAACGAACCAAAGGAGCTCCAGTTGACGGATTGTATCGATTTCGGCCCGGACTGCGAGGTACGAATCCGAGACTTGAACGATAGACGTCGTCGTGCGCATTGTCATGTGGTTCGCAGGATATTTACCACGTTGGTACGGCTGGGCTGAAGGCTCGTGTGTTGAACGGTCTGGACGACATGGTGCAGCTCAAGGTAGACTGGTTCTCGTGGTCGTGTGGGAATCTCACGGCCCGCAGGAAATACGAGTGCGATCAAACTTGCTGTACAAAATGACTGGCATTGAGAACCTTGAAAACCTGACGCACTTGGAACTGTACGACAACCAGATCAAGAAAGTGGCCGGCCTCGACCGCCTCGTCAAGTTGAGATATCCTTTTCGACCTGTGTTGCCATCCCGCAATAGCTCTCTTGTGTCATTCCTTGACCGGATTTGTTTCGATCTGCACAGTGCTCGATCTATCGTTCAACGAGATTCGCACCATCCCGGACTTGTCCCACCTGACCCAGCTCCAAGAATTGTACGTCGCCAACAACAAGCTCACGCACATTACGGGGATCGCGTCTCTCTCGACGCTCAAGAAGCTCGACTTAGGCGCGAACCGCATCCGCGTCCTGGAAGGTCTGGACAATCTTATTGAGTTGGAGCAGCTCTGGCTCGGCAAGAACAAGATCACCAAGATTCAGGTTGGTTCCAGGCCATCATCATCATTCCCCGATGAAATACACGCTCTCATGAGCAAGCTGGCCGTCGACCCCAAACATCCCTCCTCGACATGACGTCCCCAACGACGATTCTCTAGACTGTTGCCGACGTTGACGTCTACTCGTAGGGGCTTGAAGCGCTCGTCAAGCTCAAAATCATCAGCGTGCAGGTCAGCTGCTCTCTTGCGGATCCTCCGGCCAACGTCCGCTTCAAAGCCACTGCAATAGAGCAATCGCCTCGTATCCATTGATAACCTGGACGCCAACACCGAACTCCAGGAGCTTTACTTGAGCCACAACGGCATCGAAGCCATCCAGAACGTGGCCCACCTCGTGCGTGCCGCACGCCGCAGCGTTGGACGCGCATGCTCAGTCTTGCATGTGTAGTCAAAGCTCGTGATCTTAGACGTGGGCGCGAACCGCATTCCGCACATCCCAGACATGGCGTCGCTGCAGGCACTCGAAGATCTCTGGCTCAACGACAACAACGTTGCGTCGTTCGATGATTTGTTGCACTTGACATCGAATACGTCGCTGCAAACGCTCTACTTGGAGCGCAACCCCCTCGCCTCGTACGTACCCAGCGATGGCGCGCTCGTGACGGCTCCCTCCTTTTTACGTAGCGATTTCGAATACCGAAAGCGCATTCACGCGGCTCTCCCGTTTGTGTCGCAAATCGACGCGACGCCCATTGCTTAACGGGATGGTCTCGGGACGAGTAAGACACATGTGTTCGAAGCAATAAATTTGGTCGTCCCCTTCGCAAGCTCCATGGCACGTGCGCAAGGTGCAGGCGCTTTATTCACCCTTGCCAGTCGCGCGGTCCATTGACGATGCTCTTTCACGGGCTCATTGCATCCTCAAGTGCACAGTCGCTCCAAGCCCATGCAAACCACTCGAAACCTTTGTAGTTCCGTTGGGTTCGAGTGGCAGCCCATCCGAGGCTGCTGTCGAGTGTTGGGCAGGCTCGGCCACGCTCTTCTGGCCAGTGATGAAGATGGGACGTACAATCGAAGAACCGATCTACTCGGTGGACGATTTGGTTGCTCCATTATGCTGACGCACACATCGCACGACCCGCTCAAGCTCTCCATGTGCACACCGCCACGTTCCCACTCGTGTGGCACATGCATCGTCAGTCGACAAGAATGTTCCTCGCATGCAGTGCCGCCAGCCTCACCAGCCACAAGTGGTCATGCTGGATGGAATAATATCTCGTAAGGGCAGGTAGTGACTACCCTCTGCGCCTTCAGAGTGTACTTCCTACGCGTCGTTTGCAGGTACATATCATGCTTTATTTCTTTTCATTGCTTGTTGCTGCGGTCGCCGCGACCTGCCTCGACACAAGGGTCTGGTACACGCCATTCGGCAGCTTGATCAGGTCGTCGTGCGTGCCGAGCTCGACGATGCCGCCGTCCGCGCAGACGGCAATGAGATCTGCATGTCTGATAGTCGACAGCCGATGGGCGACGATGATGGTCGTTCGCTTCTTGAGCGTCAAGAGGGCGTCGAGACTGCGCTGGACGATGCGCTCGCTCTCGTTGTCGAGGGCACTCGTGGCTTCGTCAAGGAGGAGGACAGCTGGGTCCCTCAGAATGGCACGTGCAATCGCAACGCGCTGTTTTTGCCCACCAGACACTTGGACGCCGCGATCGCCGACGTGGGTGTCGTACCCATTTGGGAATCGCAGGATGAAGTCGTGGGCGTTGGCCATCTTGGCGGCCGCCACAACTTCTTCCGACGTTGCGCTTGGTTTGCCCGTGCGGATGTTGTCTGCAATCGACCCGGCAAACAGGACAGGCTCCTGACCAACGAGGGAAATGTGGTCGCGGAGCCAGTGCAGATTCAAACTGCGGAGGTCGATGCCGTCCAGGAGGATGCTTCCCTCCACCGGATCGTAGAACCGTTCGAGCAACCCGATCGCAGTCGACTTGCCCGACCCGCTCGCCCCCACCAGCGCGACGGTGGACCCGCTCGGGATCGTGAGGGAGTAGTCCTTGTACACGGCAGTGTGCGGCCGGCTCGGGTATGCGAACCGGACGTGTCGAAACTCGAGCACCCCAGCGACATTGTCCAGCGTGGCACCGCCTGCCGTCGCCGTGCAATCGATGGCAGGAACTCGATCCATTGTTTCAAACAGCCGACCGGTCGCGCGCTTGGCCTTGTCCTGACTCGCGAGCGACTGGAGCGCCGTCCCGATGCCAAAACTGCTCAGCATGAGCGCCATGACGACCATGAACATCGCTTCAAAGTTGATGTACGTGTGTTCGATGAGCCACCCACCAAACCAAAACAGAAACGCCACGGCGAAAAACATGATGCCCTGGGAGAAGCCGTAGACGACTCCGAGGCGCCGCGCCTGGGCGCCGTCTTCCGCCTTGGACTGGCGGATGTACCCCGCGACGGCGGTCTTGACAGCATGTTCCATGCCAAAGCTGGCAATCGTGCGGATGGCGTTGATCGATTCCGCGAGAAGGGCGCCGGCCAACATGTCCCCTTGAAGGGCGGCGGCCTTGGCCGGCGGTCCTGAAAACGCTTTCGATCGCAGCGACGTTGCCATCGCCATCATCGGGAACAGCACGATCATCGTCAGCGCGAGCTGCCAGCTGTAGTACAGCGAAATCCCAAACGCAACCGACAGCATCACGAGAGTGCTGAGGGTGTTTTTCAGAAATTCAGCCGTCATGGATTGCACGAGCGTCGCCTCCGTTGCAAGGCGGGTCGTGAGGACGCCGGACGGGTTCACGTCATGCCATGCCATGTCTTGCCGAAGCATGGCGGCAAATCCGAGGCCCCGTAGCCGCGTCGTCATCCGCTCCGACACGACCGAGAAGCTGTAATTTTGCACAATCGCCGCCGCACAGTACAACGTGCCGAGGGCCAAAAACGCCATGGCCCATATGAGCCCTTCATGCTTCATTTCGTCTGCTGTGAGGGAAAATTTGAAAAAGAGCGCGATCGATTTGGACAACAGGACGCCCCACAACGGGAACGTCGCGCCCGTGATCATGGCGCCGATCGACCCACTCAAGATATACTTGAATTCGGGCTGGCTGAGGTGCCACAGTCGCCGCATCGGCACGGCGTAGACCGACTCGTCTACGTCCATTTGCTTGGTGGCGGCGTCATCGTTCGAGTCGACGGCAGAACCATCATCCTGTGGATTGGCCAGCAACGATTTGACCGAGTGGCGGGACGCCCGAGATGTCCTAGACGATCGCGACGTTGGCGATGGCCTTCCACCAGCAACAACGGCGGCCGTGGACACATCGACGTTGACGGCGTCAAGCATCATGGGACTGTCGTCGTCTACGTCCAAATCGACGGCATCAATGGATACACCGTGGACTTGGGCATCGACGAGGCGCTTGTAGTGACCACGGGGAAGCTGCATGAGGACATCGTGCGGGCCCTGCTCAATCACTTTGCCATGATTGAGGACGACGATGCGGTCGGCGTTGCGAATGGTCGACAGCCTGTGGGCAATCATGATTGTCGTGCGTTGTCTGGCAGCCACCAATCGATCGAGCGACTCTTGGACAACGCGCTCGCTCTCAGTGTCCAGCGCGCTCGTCGCCTCGTCCAGCAAGAGCACCGCCGGATTCTTGATGATGGCGCGGGCAATGGCAATGCGCTGCTTTTGGCCGCCACTGAGCTGCGCCCCGCGCTCCCCGACGGCGGTGTTGAACCCGTGCGGAAACGTGACGATAAAGTCGTACGCATTGGCCATCTTGGCGGCGGCCTCGACTTCTTCCATCGACGCGTCGGGCTTTCCATGGCGGATGTTGGCCGCAATCGAGTCAGCAAACAGACACGGCTCTTGGCCGACGAGTCCAATTTGCTGGCGAAGCCACGACACGTTGAGCTCTCGGAGATCCACGCCGTCGAGGGTGACGGCTCCCGCGATGGGGTCGTAGAAGCGTTCAAGCAGGGATACAATTGTGCTTTTCCCTGAACCGCTAGGCCCGACTAGCGCCACCTTCTCGCCCGCCGCGATGCGAAGCGTGTACCCTTGGCACACTTGAACTTGCGGTCGTGAGGGGTAATGAAACACGACCTGGTCTAGCTCAATCGCGCCGTCCACGTGGTCGAGCGTCATGCCTTCGGTCGACATTGGATCGATCAAGGACGGCTCGTCAATGATTTTGTACGCTTCAAAGGCCGCCGACCGCGCCGACACGATCGCTTCGATGCACGGGCCAGCTTGGCCCATCGAGACAGCGCCCGTGATGATGCCAAAGAAGACAGTCAAGACTTTCCCGCCGTCGTAGCAGCCAGGGCCTTTGCACTGGTTCACAATGTTGTCGTTCGCGACAACGATCGCTCCGTAGTAGATACCGACGACATACGTGAGAAACAGCACGAAATACACGAGCCCATTCCCGAGGCCTGCAACAAGCCCCTTCCGAATGCCCGCCGCTTCGGCGGCAGCCAGCGCCACGTTATACTTTTCCGCCGTCGCCGGTACTGCATTGAACGTGTGGATCGTGCGAATATTGGACAGCGCCTCTTCCGCGACCGATCCAGCTTGCCCGTATGCCGCGACGGTCTCCTGAACAGCCTTCGCCATCGATTTCATCATGAAGTACGTGCCAATTGCAATCAACGGCGTAAACGCAAGGACAACAATCCCGAGCTTCCATCCGGCGCCGAGACCGACCGCGACACCTGCCACCGCCATCGCAAAGAAGTTGCACGCGTCGCCGACTTGCCGCCCCAAACCATCTTGGATCAGCATCGACGTACTGGCGACTTTGGTGGCAAGACTGGCCGGGTCGTTCATATCAAACCACGCCACTTCCTTGGTCAATATCGCGCGAGTGTACGCTTCCCGCATGCGCTGGGACTGCCGCGACGCCGTAATGGACCAGCACATGACTTGAAGGAACCCCGTGACGGTTGCTCCGAGACCCATCCACACGAGCTTGAGCGAGATGGATGCGACTTCGGCGAGCAAATTGCTGCCCTACAACGCCACGCAGGCCCGTCAATACGGGACGCGATGCCCATGGGCATACCTCTGTCGGGTTCAGGGCCGACACGACGTTGCCGAACAGGAGGATGCGGAGCGGGATCGCCGCCCCTGTTGCAAATGCCGACAGGGCTCCCACAACCATGAGCGCCACGTCGATGGAGTCGGCGAACCGGAACAGTTGCAGCAACGGGACCATACTCCCGCTCTGGTGCATTGGAGACGATGGAAACACGTCAGCATTGTCATGCTCAGCTGGCTTGGGCGTGAGCACAGCATCGTAGTCTCCTTCCTGGATGGACCCCATCGCAGGAGATGGGTGCCGCATGGAGGAAACTCGATTGCTGTGCGCGTGTTGGAGCCAAGTGTTGGTGCCCAGGTCCCGCTGCCGACCACCAGCCCACCATCGCTGATCATTCCGAGGACGGTCGCGATGTCGCCTACTAAAAATGCAAAAAATAGTTATTCTTGAGCTTGTAATATAACAGATCGCGACTCTGGATTTATTCTAGCTGAAATTGGACGGAATTCATTCGATCAAACGGATGAACAAACGTATTACTAGAATGAGATTGAACAAATTTTGGTTACCCAGAGGGAAATTAGGATGACTTGCAAGTTGCGTAAGTGAACCACATCCGAAATCCGCGTTGTGGCAAGTGCAAATGTGAAAAATCCGCGTTTTGGGGGATATTGCAGCTTGCAAAAATTTGCCAAAAAAATATTTTTGTGCCAACCAGAATTTAAAACCTATTTTTAGGCAGCAACCTCGAAGGAAGCGTATTATGTCGCTACTGTGTCATGTTGCAACGTCCTCGGCTGAAGTTGGCTGGCCCTCCTGGATGGACCACGGAATTCCAAGTGGTTCTCGTACACAGCGAGGAGCGCATTGCGTGCAGCGAACACGTCGAGTTTGTCGACGGCGTTGGCCGCCGTCGTGGCCACCGAGCTGCACGGCACGGATGCGTTTTCCGACTCGATTACAAAGTTTAGCACTTTGAGCTCGGACATTTGCATTTGGCACATGAAGCTCGCGAGTCGCTGTGCCAATGTGTGCATGGATGAAATGAGTGATCACCTCGCCGACCGTACTCTAGGAAGGTACGTGCTACGAGTGCCTCGAAAGCCATTCGAAATCACAAGGCAGACAGGACGTTGCCAACACGTTGGGCTCAACTCGAGCCGTACAGACGGGAAGAGGGCATCTCACGGCAAACGCATCCGTGTTTCAGAATGTCCTACGTGTTCGTTTCGAAGGAATGGGTGCCACCAGCAGTTTACTGGGCCCACTGCGTCTCGCCCGTGACTGTGTTGTAGTAATAGAGCTCCCCCGACACGTCGTCGACGGCGGCAACCCAGTCGGACGCAGCAGGGACTTCTTGTTGGCCGACATCGTACGCATCTATTGCTTCATCGTTCTCCCAGGATGCTTCGACGGCATTTGGATCGTATTCGCCCCCAGTCGCATCGTACTCGTCAGGGTGGGCAAGGCCTTCGTTGACGTAGTTGTACTCGTTGGACGCCACAAACTCGTCGTACGTTTGCGAATCTTCGACAGTTGGTGCCGCGTGCGCCGTACCGTGCTTCGGCATGTCTTTCCACGTGTGGAGGGCCTTGTTGCCCTTGGCGTGGATGATGGCAAAACATCCCAAGCAATACGGATCACAGCACTGGTCGCACCACCGCGTAGCCTTCATCTTCTCGCATTCGACGCACTTGATCGGGCCCATCGCTGTCCACGTATGCTGCGCGCGCTTGCCGGTGCTGTGTGTTTTGTCGTAGCACGAGTCGCAGAACACATCTTCGCACTGTGCACATCGTCGCGTCGCGTCGTTCTCATCGCATTCGACACACTTGACATCCTCCGGGTCGACCGGGTCGCCTTCGGACGGCTTGTCGCCGCCGGCGGCCGCTGGGACGGCCTGCGCAGGGTCCGGAATGACAGAGCCATCGCGGAGGACGAGCTGTCCGTCTGGTTTCGTGTAACCAACGTCGGGAGGCTCCCAAATCGCCTCTCCCGTCTACAACATTCCGTTAGCATGCTGCAGATGACCGACTTGGGGCCGCACCTGCGAGTGGTAAAAGAAGTAGGCGTTTGCGTCATCGCTCCAAAATTGTCCCCACACCCGCGCATTGGCCACCATGTCGTTCATCCTCGCGACCTTGTGGGCTAGCACCGTCTGCTTTGCCTTTCGGCCACGGAACAACGTTTGGATGGTCGTGGCGGCTTCGGTTCGCTGGCGGAGGGTCTCCCGCTTGGACGCGAGTTGAAGCGACGTGCCGATGCGACTACGATGACCACGATACACCGCTTGAATCCGCATGGCAGACCGGTGCTGCTTTTGAACATGCTTGGCCCGCCGCTCTTTGACGCGGACGACCTCAGCTCGTCCTTGCACGCCACGTGCCAGGGACTACCGACGTCTCAGACCGTCCACCCGCTTGGATTTTTCGCAAGCAAATATATACCTGGATCTTGATCGCTTGGCGGCGCCGCTCCCGCTCAATCATCTGACGGATCTGCTTGGCGTTGCGCAGCCGACCGCGGTACCTCCGCTGGATAATTGTCGCCGCTTTCCGCCGGACGTTTGCCTGCTTGAGCAGCTCCATGCGCTTCCTTGCCAGCCGGCCGCGATACATGCACTGCAGCGTTCGCGCTGCTTTGGCATGGCGTTGCAACCGCTTTGCCTCGACAAGTGACGTTCGTGTGAGAACACCCCGCATCCTTGCTTGGATCGTTGTCGCCGCACGCGCTTGCAGAATGTTTCGCATGAGAGTCTTGGCTGTCTGCTTGGCCAACTGGCCGCGACATAGCGCTTGAATCTTACGCGCCGCGTTGTTCCGACGCTTCTCCCTCTGCTGGGATCGAATGAACGTGTACATACGGCGCTTTGTAAACGCTCTAGGTTTCGAAGCGAATGTGGCGACATGTGTCAACATGTGTAGCTAACTCTCACCTCCAGGAACGCTGAAGGGTATTTGCTGCGTCCAGCTCGAGCGCGGCTTGATACGCGGCATGCTCTGCAGCAAGCAAGGACATCCATTGATTCCACGCGGCCGCCATTCGTCTCTACGCAGTACGTGTCGTCGGTTCGTTTGTCGTTCATTCGGTGGACGAACCTTGGTCCAGTTGCGAAAGTACAGGTCGAGTTTCTTTGTCCCCTTAAAATGCATGAGTGCCTGGCGCGCCTCTTGTTGCTTGGTCCATGCCGCGACAAATCGCCACCTGCAATACATGGTCATGACACTTAATTCGGACGACCTAAACCCAAACGAGTGGCCACGACGTACGCACGTACCGGTCGAACGCGGCAAAAATCCGCGCGTACAATAGCTGCGTGCACACAGTATTGAGCTTGTCGAGCCCCCACTTTTGCACAAACCGGTTGCCGCGGATGGTGTGCACGGGGCAGATCTTTTGAACGAGCGCGATGTCTTGTTTGACGAGCGCCGTGTATGTCTGGACATTTCGCAGCGCCTGGTGGAGTTCATCGCGCATCGAGTCGGCGGGGTGCGTCGTCATGAGGGTAGAGTGCGACGCCTTGCCTCCCTTGGCATGGTCGCTGTGTTTACCCTTGGTCGGGCCTTTCGACGGAGGGGACAGTAGTGGAGATGCCATGGACGACATGGTGATGGCATCGCCAACATTGGCCGATTCAATTTCATCGATTTCATCGCTGCTTAAGCCAAGCACCCGCATTGCTTCTTCTTTGTCGCTCGCGGTCAGCCCTGCTACAGTCGACAAAGGCAGCGCCGTCGTAGGCACGTTGAATGTTCGCCGCGGCTCTGCGGCCGAAGTGAGTAGCGTGGCCGGACCAGCAGCCGGCAGTGGCTTGGCTGCCGTGGTCACTGGGGGCAGTTTGAACACTGGAAGAACGTGCACGCCGTCAGGTTTGTCGAGGCCAACTTCAAACGGGGTATCCCCCGTCGTGGTCAGAATTGGTAATATGTCGAAGGAATGCCGAAGGACAGTGATTGCCGGCGACGATGTCTGAGGTGCTAAGGTGTCTGAAGATCGGGACTCGGACCGCCGCCGTCGCAGCGACGCAGCGTTCTCCTTGTGCCGGGTTAGTTTGGGCTGCTGTTGATCTTCTTGGTTGCGGGACCCTCGATTGGACGCGTTCGTTTTACATGGAGGGACTTTGTCTAATGGCAGGTGCAGATCGACTACAATCCCTTTCTCCCGCATGTCGTCGGCCTTCAGTTTCCATTCCGTCGTGAGTTTCCATCGCGTTCGCTCAAGTTCGTCCAACAGGCGCTGCTCCTGGTCGGTCAGGCGCGCAATCAAGTCCGCGTGCGGTGTAATTTCCCCAGGTGATGGAACTGCCGCTCCTGAAGCGCTTGGCAGCCCGATCGAAGCATCTTTCGACATGTCCTGTGCTACCACCACAGGTTTGATACCTGACAAGTTCCCGCCAAAGAGCATCATCTTGCTGCATTGACAGAGGAAGCGGGCGGAAATGATTCGTGTAACTGCTCAAACGGTTTCACCCTCGTGCACACTCTCGACAACTTGTGGAGCGTTTCAACACGTTGATCGAGCTCTGTTGCGGGTGCATTGCCAAGCCATTCAATGTCCGGGCGGCCTTCCCTCCGACGCGCCGTGATGTGGACCCGTGGGAATTACCCACCCGACGTCCATGCAGCCAGTTTCAAGGTTTGGGAAAACCCTCGAATATGGGCATAATTTGGCGGATTTGCGTACGATCAAACAAACCAATCAAAACGACATATGTGCGTCGTTTTGATTGGTTCGTTTTGATCTTGCACCGCTTCTTTCGGATACTTGGACATTTTTATCCGTACATTCTCAACTGCCCTTTTCGGTGCAACCTATTTTTGGCACACCCGGCGACAGCACCCCGAGAGCGACGCACGCACGACGCCAACCCCCACGCTGCCGCCCGCTGACATGCCGGTGAACTTAAACGAGAGCGACTTGGATCGCATTCGGCAGAGCATCTCGGACCCAGTCCAGTCAAATCGAGAAGCGAAGCGACAGCACCTCAAGGAATTGTCGACGCAACGGACGGGGAAATGGCCCAACACGCTTGAAGCGATGCGACGCAAGAAAGAAAACTGGAAGAAGGACAAAGAAGAGCGTGAAGAAGCGGAGCGTCTCAAGATTGATGAAGAAGAATTGCGACTGCAAAAAGAGTACCGCACCAAGCAGATCGAACGGGCGAATCGCCTGTTGTACGAACAAACTGACAGGATGAAGACGTTGCGGAGTAAGGAGCTGCTGGCAGATGTGCTCCAGGATCGTGAGTACCAAATCGGCGAGAAGCAAGCCGTGAAAGCACTGGACAAGAAGGTCGAGGACGGGTGGACGGCAACCCTAATGACTCAGCTCCGCGATGCCGACCGAAAGGCTGAAGAGGAGCGAAAGGAGCGCGAGCACAAGCACAAGGAGCTCGCCGTGATGCAACAAAAGCAACTCGAAGAGTACAAAAACACGCACATCGCACATTTGCGCGAAGAGATGCGCGACGGCGAGCGCATCAAAGCCAAGGCTGAGCAGGACGCACGTGACGAACAAGAGGCCGAGTTGGCGCGGAAGCGACGGGTCAAGCAGGCGAATGAGGACACGCGACTTGCAAACGAGCGGCTGAAGTTGTTGCGAAAGCAAGAAGAGGAAAAGGAGGAGGCCGAGGAGCTCAAGCGACAAGAGGATGCCCGCAAGAAGGAAGAGCGCACGATGAAGCGGAACGAGTTGCAACGGCAGCGAGATGAGAAGAAGGCGGCTCAAAAGATGCGCATGATCGATTTGGTTCGTACATGCTGATGGCGAATGTATGTATGACGGAATGATTGTAGGCGACCGAGAATCTCTTGAGATTTGAAGCCAAGTCGGAGGCGCGCCTGGAGAACCAGAAGAAGGAGGTCCGACAGAAAGAAGACAACGAAATAAAGTTCCGCGCAGAGCGTCGAGCAGCACAGAAGAGCGCAATTGATCATAGCCGCAGTTTGCAACTGGAAGAGAAGCAGCGACGCAAGCAAGACGAGATAGAAATGGCCAAGGAGCAGTCGCTTAAGTGGGCTGACTACAATCAGCGCGTTGAGCGCGCCATTATGAAAGAGGAACAAGAGAGAAAGCTCGACAATGTTCGTCTGGCGGCACTGCAACGACAGCAAGCTGACGCCAAACGCACGATTGAAATGGTCTGGGATTGTTCGGAAACTGTCGGCGATCCTCACTGCGTTTTTCGGCGAATGTGTAGGAGGACCGTGCCGCGCAGATTCTGGCGGAAGAAACGATCAAGAATGGACACTCGATAGAGCAAGAACTGTACAAGCAGTATGCTGCACATGTGTTGGACGACGCCGAGAAGCGAGGCATGACGAACGTGCATCCACTCAAGCAAGCCCTGAAAGCCAAGGGGATCGATCTCTTGCCCGCATCTGGTTTCCGCGTTTAGCTCCTTGGCCAAGCATGAGAATCGTCGTGCCAGGAGATACAATCTTAAACCTAATGCTTGCGAGGGTTTCGACGTCGTGTCTCGCAAGTATAACCAGGTGCATCATCGTTCCCGTTCCTCGTTCGCGAATAGCTCGAACGGAAGAGTGTCATCAGCTCAAAGCACCATCGATCCCTCGCGGCAAGAAAGGTCGTTCTGTCGAGATCGTTCCTGCAGCGGTGACATTTGCTTGTGAAAACAAGGTGGGCTGATTGATTAACGACAAGCATTTGATCAACAAAGAGTAATTGATCACCAAACATTACATCAAGGAATGATTGATCAACTAAAAATTGATTAACATTTGCAGGCTACGTTAAAAATGGATACTTAGTAATACGTCAAGCAGACCGCCTTGTGCACTCTGGAGAATTTCAACGAAGCGAGTACGCATTGGAATGTCAACATTCGTTTTTCTTTTGGTGCATGCGACTCCGCCGACTTCATGTCGGATGAGACGGTCGTGTTAGTTTGATAACCTCACGTCAGTGTTGAGGAGTGTTGTACTAGTACTACTACTTGGGGCGTGCACCCATCGTTCCGTATCGTAATAGTGTTGGTTTCTCAAGACCAATACGCGGAAAAGTTATTTTTAAATTGGACGGTTCAAACAACGATTTGGTATCTGGCTTTGATAACCTTAAAAAAATCACAAATCACTACCTTGGCCACCCAGCCAAAGTGAATGTTGCGGGACAACATGGAAGAGTTGCGCGAGCGCAAAGGGAACTCGATGACGACATCCCCCGCCACGACAGTCGCTACGCCGACGGTGTCAGCTCAACAGAGGGTGCACAATGCACTCGACTGGGCCTACCTCAATTTGGGTGGGGAAGCTTGGGACTGCCAGCCAGCTTGCTGGATCACAGACTATGTGCTTGGCGTGCAGTGCTTCTTCTCGACGGTTGCCGTTGTGTATTCATCCGAGAATCGAACTGATTCGACTTGGTACCTCGTGTACTTCATTGCGATGGGCACGACCGCGGTCCTCGGTGGCCTTCTCCACCACATGGCGTTCAAGGCAATGAAGAGATTCAATCTAGACCCTGCCAACACGTCCAAGCGCGTGTTTGGCATTTACCTCCAGCAATCTTCCGTGGATACGTGCTTGGCGTGGGTGTGGCGCTTTTGTCTCGGCTTTACGACGCTGACAAACTTTGCGCTGGTCGCCGCGCCAGCGTCCCGCTACCTCAACGACCAGTTGTCCGAACTCACGATTTGGGTTGCCGGTTTTGGTTACTCGTTGGTTGGTGCCGCTGCATTTGTGAAGATGCAATCGTCCATCATGCTCCTCGGCTTTCTTCCGCCCATGTTTTTTGGGAGCATCTCTGCCATTGCCACGTTGAGCGAAGGCTGGCTGTTGGAACTGCTAGTCCTGCTCTTTATCCTAACAGGTGGCCTCGTGCAAGCCGTCGAAGCCTCGCCATCCCAAAAGCATTTCAACCACAACGCTCTGGCGCATGTTCTCCTCAGCGCGTCCGCCACCGCCATGATCATGCACTTCTACACACGGACCCCCCAGCACGTTGATTGAGAATGCGTTTATCTGTTGCAAGCTGCACCTGTTTACGCTAATTTACTTCCAAATCGTCGAATTACTTCAAGTATATTGACAGTTTCCACGTCAATTGCAGCAATATTGCTTCGAGAGTTCATAAAAATGTCTAAAACGTCCTTCAATGTCAAGGGATCGATTTAATGGAAATACAAATGTCAAGGCCGACAATTTCGACAAAATTTGCAACATATATACAGAGGTCAGCGAATTCGCTGTATATTCTGTGCAACGGCGTCGAGGGACTTGGCTGCCATGATGTTTGGCATGCATGCTAGTGACAGCTCCGCAGGCGTTTAGTTTCGTGCTTCCAAATAGTACTTGATCTACTACTGGCGCCGAGTAAATTCACCTGTGTTGATGTCAATTCCTTTAAATAGAAACCGTTTTTAGTCCACTGTTCGCACCGTTAGTGTACTTTAACGCACGTTGACGTGAACAGCGACAGTTTCACATTGGTGGTGTCGTCGAACGCCACCAACACTTGTAAACACCATGCCCAAAGGTGACCACCGACGCCAGCGCAAGACACCGTTTTCCGCAGATGAATCCTTGGGATTGCCCAGCAGCAAGGAAGTCGCATCACCACTTGATGAGGACTCGATGTGGGTCTACTGGACATCCCGGGGTGACACATGGGACGCGCAGCCGGCATGCTGGATCACCGACTACGTCCTCGGCCTCCAATGCTTTGTATCTTTCGGATGCTTGCTGTACATGACGTCGATTACACGCCAAGACATGTTTTGGAACGCCGTCTATCTTGCGGCCATGGGGTCGACGGCAACTCTCGGCGGCGTGCTCCATCATGTTGCTTACAAAGCCCAGTCGCGCTTCTCCACCGACGCCGGCCTCCATCGACGACGCGTGTTTGGCTTACGCATGACACAGCCCAGCGTAGATCGCTGGATTCGATGGATGTGGCGCTTTGTCCTGGGCTTGACGACGCTGGCCAACTTTGCCCTTGTTGCCGCCGCCGCCTCGCGCTACATGAACCCCCACTGGTCCCAATGGACTATCTACATCGCGGGCATCGCATACACAGCTGTCGCGGCGATCGCATTCGCGACTATGCGCACCTCTATCATGCTCGTTGGATTCCTTCCCCCACTATGTTTCGGCTCCATCGGTGCCGTCGCGGCCTTTGAGCGAGGCTGGCTCTGCGAGCTTCTCGTCCTCGCCTTTGCACTTGCTGGCGGCCTCATACAAGCTGCGGAAGTGAGTCCGTCACGACAGCACTTCAACCACAATGCGCTTGCTCATGTGTGCATCAGCGCTTCCGTCACGACCATGGCCGTCCACTTGAGTGTAATTGCATAAACCATACCTACCAGCCGAATCAGTGGGTCTCCTGCTTGTACGTTGCTAGTCCCAGGGCCTTCGAGTCAGTAGATAGATCTGAACGAGCCACGGCGTTTATCGCGCTCGTTTGATGGAGGCCACCATCGACTACGTCAAGAATCCCCATTTGAACGTATTCTGCCTCATGCTGGCTTGAATGGCACTGGCAGGTAATCGATGCAGCAACGCTGGCTGTACAGATCGTAGAGTCAAAGACTCTCCACGCCCAGCGACCGCTGCGAGCCCTGGCGGTATCAACTTTCAAGAGCATTGCAATGAGGTTGTCGCTAGGGCACGAGCGAGAGAAATGGCCGCGCAAATGTATGCACGAAGTGGCCCTCTCGACGTCCCAGTCCTTGTCGTTGACAGGCGTAGACGACGTTGAGACTCGCATGCCCCCACGGACATACTATCGACACCTGCATCACGGCGCCATGACCGACAATTGAAAAACCAGAAAGCACTGTCTGGGTTCAATGCCAACTGCAGGAACAACAATATTACATTTGAAAGCCTCGGTCGTCAGTGGCCCGCAACGATTGCCGGTCTCCCTCGTGTGCTGCGTGTTGTCTAGGAATGATTGAGCTTTCGATGCTGCGGTGGTCTCGGCGGGATCGCCGCTTGCACGTGCTGGGCAACGTGCGGATGGTAGTATGCGATTTCGTTGGTCATGAGGCGACGGATCTCTGGGATCGGAAGCGGACCGCGCGAGTCGTCAAAGTCGAGTTGGATCGGGTGCGGCGCCACAATGTCGTCATCGACGTCTTCGATGCTTCGGATCGACGCCAAGTATGGATGGGACAGCGCGTCGTCGACCGTCATGCGTTTCCTCGGATTCATTTGGAGCATTCTGTCGAGCAAATCAATCGCTTCCTTCTCGGCGCCGGGGTACATCTCGGCAAACGACTTGCGCGGTTGAGGAGGTAAGTTCCGAAGGTAGAAGCGGACGTCGGGGTCGGCAATCTCGGCAATGTCTTCGTCCGCCATCGACCCCAGCACGCGCAGAATCGTGTTGAGCTGGTCTTGGCTGTCCTGCGGCAGCGCGCGCTGGCCCGCGCCGGGACTCAGCGGGAAGCACGACACACCGGGAAACAGCGGTTCGCGGGCGTAATGCGACGGCACGCTGCTCTTTTGCATGCTGAGGAGTTCAGCAAATATGCACCCGACGCTCCACACGTCGATGCCTGTCGAGTAGTCGTGATCTCTGAAAATAATCTCCGGCGCGCGGTACCACCGCGTAACGACATGCTCCGTGAGTTGACGCTGGATCTTCTTGCCCTTGGAAGTCGATGCCGCCGCCGGTGGCATGGTCGGGCTCGACGAGCCCCGTTTTCGTTTCGTGGACGGATGGCTCAGCTGCGAGTTGGTCAAGGTCCGCGCGAGGCCGTAGTCGCAGATCTTGATCGCGACCGGGGATAGATTGAGCAGGACGTTGGCGGGTTTCAAATCGCGATGGACGATCGCGGCCGAGTGCATGTACTTGAGCGCCTTGAGGAGGTCGAGGAGGAGCCACCGAATGTGTTCCGCCGTGAGAAACTGCGGCGAGTGCAGCAACTTTTCCAAGTCGGACGGCAAGTACTCAAACACGACAAAAATGTTTTGGAACCGAAGAATGTCTTGCGGGCACACAATCTCTCGGATCTACACCACGTCGTCACAAGTTGCTCGGCAACTGGCTCGGCAACTCGAACCTGGACAATATTGCGGTGGTTCAGTTGCCGTAAAATGCACAGCTCGCGCAAGATTCGCTTGGCGTCGATGGGGTCGGTAAAGACATTTTGAATCTTCTTGATCGCGACAATCTCCCCCGATGCCTAGTGCGATGCACAACATGGTCGTTCAGCACGAGGGTCCTCCCGATCGATGGACCACGAGCACGGCACAGCAGCAACGACGCAAACGCGCCAACAACGACGAAAGCATTTCGGAGACACCCGAAGGAACGAGACGAACCACGACGTACCAAATGCTTGCACCGCACGACTTGGCCGTAGCTGCCTTGGCCCAGCACTGCTTCCAAGTGATACGACGGTTTAACTTCGTCCCAACCAGCCAAGTTGGCTACGGACTTTGAATTGTGTCGAGGGTGTGGCGGAGGCGCGGGAGATGCGTCCGCGGATGCAAATGGCGCACCTGTATGACAGAAGAAACCATGTCAATCATCCATGGTGGGTCTAGACAATATACGCGAGGTCGATGTACCGTTCTTCGCGTGGGATGGCTGTTGTTGCGGTGGCATGGTCGACGAGGACGGAGCGAGCGCCGCGGGCGTTTCCGCGACAGAATTCAGGTCCCGCTGCGCCAACGTGCATTGGAACGCCGACAGGTCCTGGGCCACGACCAACATCCCGGCCCCCGCGGGGTTCCCGAGGAGTGCTGAGCATTCGCAGAGAAGGCGGAGCTCCCGTCCATCTTTTCGAAACAACGGCAGCTCCAGTGCTTGTACTTTGCCTTTCGATGGATCGATGCAAGACTGTAAGGCACGTTCGAGGACAGCCGTGGCACCGAGAGGGACAAGTCCGGGAAGGTCGATAAAGCTGCGTCCGGCGACTTCATCGCGAGTGAGTCCAGTGAGTTCGATGGCGCAGTCGTTCCATAAGATAACCCGCATGGACTTGTCCACGACGAACACGACTGCACGACTCGCGTACAGCGACTTGCCCAACGACGCGAGGCTCTCCGTCGACTGGAAGAAGTTGTCGACTGATGTCACGAACGCCCGAACTTGCTGGACAGACCCGGCGAATTCGAGTTGCTCGCCGAGAGTCTGCCGTAGGAGTTTGCGCACCGAGCCATTGTTGGCAACCGGTGGGCTGGTCTGGGCGGGAGGAGGCTGTTGCTGTTGGAGATGGTGCTGATGTCCCATGTGCTGCTGCTGCAGGTGCTGCAAGTGGTGTAGCTGTTGTTGCTGGTGCAAGTGTGCCTGGTGCTGCTGCATCGGGACCTGGTTACCTCCTCCGGCGCCGATGGGGTAGTTGTTCATCGTTAGGACGCCGACACCGGTCGTATATATTTTATTGGCGCTGAAGCGTCCGAGCTTGATTTCACTATATACTTTGCTGGCTTTTGAAACGGTATTTAAAAAATTGCTCTGCGCATTTTTAGGGGATTTTGACGAAACGGCAAGTGTCGTGATGGCGACGTTGGTGCTCCGCCGCGGGGAGCTCCAGCGCAAGCCAGGCGCTGATGGCATCTCTCCGTGGCAGCGGTGCTGGGTAAAGATGTACTCGGACCGTGCTGTCGATCACAACAACTCCAAGTTGTTTGACGTGTCGGCGGTCAAGTCGGTGGTCAAGTCGGGTGACCACGATGTCGTCGAGTTCGTCGTCCAACTGGCTGCCGGCTCTTGCATGCTCTTCCAAGCACCATCCACCCACGAGTGCGACGCGTGGGTGCGGTGCATCACGGACGCAAAACGAATCTTCCTCGCGTCAAATGGTCGGATGTTGTTTCAGCAAGCCCACGACGTTGGCGGCGGCGCCGCGCCATCGTCTGAAGCGGGGGGCTCTCGCACGAGCAATCCATTCATTCGGTTCGATGACAGTGCATCGTCCAATGGCAGCGACGACGATGACGACGACGACGAAGACGAACACGGCGAGCGAACGATTCTGTCCGCGGCGAATTCGCCAGTCAAGTCGCCGCCGCGCGACGCGGTCAGTTGCCCCATCCTTCCTACCTTCTGACCACCTTCCGTTGCTTGGCTTAGATGGCCCGTTCGAATGCACGCACGTTTACAATCGTCCATGGCTTCATCAACTTGCCCAACGGAAGCAGGTACATTCACCAAGCCAGGTGCGGCACTCAATCCGGTGCCTTCTCCAGGATGATTGTGGCGCTGCCGTACGACACTACAACCCTCAGTTCGCTGCCCGTGTCCGCATGCAAGCGCGACATGCTCCACAAACTTAAGCGCAAGATCGACCAAGACTTCCCCGACATGGTATGCATGACTGATCATGTCAACTTGAGCCCACAAGTGCCGTCGCTATTGCACGTAGACAAGTCGACATGGCCTCGTCGCGGACATTCCAAAGGAAGACAACAGCCTTTTTGTGTTGGCGATCGTCGACGCCATCCGAGGTCTTGCCTTATTCTCCCCGACGCGCCACCGATGACAGGCCGTAGATGTCTGGCTTCGCAACGAAACCAAAAAGATGCGCCATTATCTCGACCAGCGTTTCGACAAAGCATCGTCCGTGGTTTGTGTCGAAGTCCGGCACGTCCAAGCGATGCCGCCGCCGCCGCTCGTCGTGTCGATTCTGTCGACGGTGAATAAAGTCAGCGATCTGTCGCAGAAGGAGTACACGGTATCTTGCGCCAGCCCCCTTCATCGCCTCCTTCGTGATGGGTGCTCCGCAGGCGTACAAGATTCAAGTCGAGTTCAACGGACTCGCGTGGACGGTGGACCGCCGCTACAAGCAGTTCTATGCCCTCCACGACGCCCTCGTCCGCGAAGCAGACTACCCGTACAAAATGTACTTGCCCGCGCTGCCGCCGCGGCGCGCCCTCACGCCCAAGAAGGGATCGTTCGTGGCCAAACGCCAACAGCGCTTGGAAGCATATCTGCAGGATCTTGTGGCGTTGCCGAACCTGGCCGAAGACGTTCGTGTGATGGGATTTCTTGGGAGTACGTGATGTGGTGCATATTCATGGACACCATGCTGTCATGGAGGACGCTATCGCGTGCATGCCATGACGGCGAAGTTGCGCATAGTGGTGTCGACCGCGCGCAACTCGGAAATGCACCCGAGAGATACCCGCAGCGTCGTCCACGTGTCGGCGCTCCACACTGCGTTAGAGTACGGCGACATTTTGCTGTTCAAGACTCGGTTTGGCACATCCAAAGTCCAGCGAAAGGTAAAGCGTTGTGTTGGTCACACCGCTCTGTCTTCTGCCAGGAATCATGCGCTGGCTTGTCTTGTGTCGTAGTTGACTGGCGCGCGGTACGACCATGCAGCAATCGTTGTCCCAGGGTCAGCGCCGGGACTGCTGTCCATGCTCGAGTCGACTGGCGAGGGCATTCAAGTGTATCCGTTGGTACGTACGACGGAGATTGGGGCCTGGGAGCTACGGTCGGGCGCGTTTTTCTTGCATGGACGTTGCTCCGCACGCGCTCGTTGCCGGCGATGGGGCGCCTCACGGTGTCGTAGAAAACGAGGCTGCTCGCGTATAGTCGCGAAGTCACGAACGCAATTGTGGCGCGGCGGGTGCTGGCGCCGCGGACGCCGGAGACGCTGGCAAAACTGCAGCAGTTTGTACTGGACGTGAACGGGAACAAGTACAGCATCTTTGGCATTTTGAACCGGACAAAAGTCGACGACAAGGAAAAGACAAGCCACTACTTTTGCTCGGAGCTCGTCGCGGCGACGCTGCAGCACGTCGGGTGGGTCCAACTCAACGTTCCGCCCAGCTACTTTTGGCCAGGGAGCTTTGCTCAAGACGGAGAAGTCGAGACAAACCACCACCTCATGCCGTTCGTCACGCTCGGCCCGGAGCTCTCGATCGATTGCAAGATCATGGAGGTGGGTCGAGCGCAGTACGTGTCGGGTGATGCGATAACAAAATAGAGCGTGCATTATGACGTCGACCGCGAGGAGGGTTTACTGCCATACTCACCAAGCATGCCCCACATCGTGGAGACCATGTTATGGAGAGTATGTTGGCAGCACTTGTCGTATGCACTGGGCGATCGTTCCCCTCGTGTCCACTAGTTCCATGGCACACGTAGAGGAAGGCATGCGCTCGCCCCGGCGAGCCCACTCGTGCCTTGCATCCCAGCCTCTCTATAGCGACACTTGACTGCGAGTTGATGGTCATCTACGATATGGTGTGCCATCGCACGAACAACGCGTGGCAAGGTCATCTCGACAAGGGATGGCATCACCAGCTGCAGCAGAGCTGCGCTACCTCCATCCTGCTGGCATGGCGTTCGTCCTAAAATTTGAAAAAGGGCTCGACACAGTCTCGACTTGGGACACAGAGCGGTGTAGTCGCATGTGGGTGTCGAGAGCTGTGATTGTTACAAGTTGTCGACCAAAAACGATTCGAGCCGACTCGAGAGCGACACGTACGGGTTCGGATTGCGGAAGACCGCGACGGCGGCCAGCGCTTCGACAAACTCGGCGAAAATGAGCTCCAGGTCGACCTCGCCGTCGGTTGTGTCCTGCTGAACAGCGTAAAACAACTGCTTGATCCGTGTGTGCGGAAACAAGGCGTCGATGAGGCGCTGCTCCTTGAGCCACCCCTCAAACTCGGCCAGAGTCATAAACTTGCCGCGCTTCTCGCACGCGTGAAAGGCAAACAGGCGCTTGAGCTTCTTGTCGTGGGCGCGCAGGACGGAAACGACGTCGGGTTGGCGCAGCTGGCGTTTGAACGATCCGATGCCTTGCCGTTCGATGGCCGACGCGACCGGCATGAGCCGAACCTCGATCAATTCCTTCACCATGTCTACCAGCGGCACCGCCGGCCGCTTCTCGTGCAAATGGTTGGCAACGCGCAGCAACGCCTCCGTGAACTCTGTCGACGTCAAATCAACGTCGCCGAACCGATCGACGTCCGGCGTCCCGACCGCGCCAGTCGCGACATCGTCCTTGATCGATGCTTGGACGATGAGTTGCAAGTACGCCCGCGTCATGTTCTTGCGCTCGATGAGGCCGCATTGGCTCATGAGTTTGTAAAATTCGTGCTCGCTGATGCTCTTGCCGCCACTCGCGGCGCCGCTCGCTTTGAAGATGTGGATGACGGGCACAACGTGCTCGAGGAACACGAGTTGAATCGCCGTGAAGTCGTCCACCGAACAGAACCGAGAGACGCGGGTGTAGTCGAGTTGGACCATGGGGACGAGCTCCTCCTTTTCAAGGGCGACTGCAATCATGGACTCGCGGCCCTTGAGGCGCCGGCAAAAGTCGCTCAAGTTGGCGCGGAGGACGGCTTGTCGGTGCATCGCCAGAACGCGCTGGAGTTGCTTGTGGACCACGAGCAACTTGACCTGACACTCCTGCAACGTGCGCAGGCGTCGGACGAGTTCGCGGCACGCTTCACGGAGACTTTCGTCCTGATCGTACGCGTTGGTGATTTGAAGCGCGCTTTTGAGTCCCGGCCACATTTGGAGAAACGAAAACTGGCCGGGCGCCATGGCCTCGAGGCTGTTGCCGCCCGTCGCGCCGGCAAACATGACAAACATGTAGACAAGGATGCCATAGTATGCGTCAAAGTGGCCCGCCATGAGGTCGTCGCGGGACGCAATGTCGTCGGGGAGGAAGATGCGCGCTTGCGCGACTTTCAAAAACAGTTTCCACTGCACATGTCGATTCGTGGCCGAATGTTGGGACAGCGCCAGGAGCGGGTCCTTTTCACACTCGTCTGCGTACAGCGCGTCGTAGTCGGCGATGGATGCCGGCTGGAGGTGCCACAACAAGTGGAGCACGAGCTTGGGTGTGGCGAGGGATGTGGCAATATCTTGGAGCGACGCGATCGGGGCAAACACTTTGCGGCCCACCCGCGTGTGGATGTATGTGATTTGGATGTTGATCCATTGCAGGAGCGAGTCCCACGGGATGAAGCGCCCGATGCGGTCCGCCATGGCGTCGACCGCAGTTTGCGTGAACCCCAAGTCCTTCTTCGTCGTGTTGGTCGACTCGAGCAGGTCCATGTGGCCATGCACAAAGCCGTCAACGATGGGCTACACACATGGGAGAAGCGGCGCATGAGCCGCCGTCGATCGCAGACGACCGTGGTGTACGGGACGTCGTACCAAGACGTTGGATACGCCGACGAGGTACCCAGCTGTGCTCGGGAGCATCGTGTGAATGTGTACGATATCTACACAAGTCGTCATTGTCCATGACGGCAGCTCATCGGGTCGTATACAGATCCTACCTTGCAGCGCTTCCGTCAAGTGCGCGGTCAGGGCTTGTTGTGTGGCGACGCTGTTGTCGATGGACGCGACGAGGACGTCTTTCAGGTCGTGGACGATCTGCTTGGACGGATCTAATTCATCCGCGGGCCGCGTGGTGCCGACCAGATCTTGATTCGACCTACACAAGGACCGCAGTGGAATCGCGGGAGGCCGACCGTTCTTTCATACATGATGACTTGTTTCAAGTACGAGCACTTTTTCCGAAGCCGACCTAAGATGTACCGCATCCACCGCGACCAAATGTACCGCTTGGACAATTGAATGCGACTACCGCCAAGTTAGTCGGACAACGAGTCGCACGACCGCACGCACCGCTCGGACGCCATCGAGAGCTTGGCATACCGCTCGTCCCACTTGACCATGGTCAAGTTTTTCCAGTTGGAAAACACCTGCGACTTGAGGCGGCCCTGTGTCTGCATCTCCTTGATCTTGATTAGCCGCGCCATCGTTTCTTCGCTGCGCATGGCCTCTGTTCGGACCTTCTTCCATGCCATGAACATCATGCGCACGATGTGCCATCGCAGCCGGTCCGCGTTGCGCGTCATGAGGACCATCGCGGCTTTCGACCGGACAAGCGTCGCCTGCTTGAAACTCTTCTCCGCTTCGACCGCCGTCCCGTCAAATTTGGCGTACTGCAGCAACTGGTGGGCGAGCTGCAAAAACGTTGTCGTCAACGCCACGGGGATGCCGACGCATTGGACGAGTTCTGACCTTGGTCGCGGAGATGCCCGGGTCCACGGACAGAATCATCGTGACGAGGTAGTGCATCCGGGGGACGTCGCTGACTCGACAGCAACCGCAAAACGTGCACCGGAGGTGCCACAGCATGTTGTTGGCGTGACAAAATCCGCAGCGGACGTCCCCGGCCGCGGCGCCAGATCGATGGGATGCGGTCATCCGCGTGGCAATCTGCTTGTCATGGGGATGGATGTTGGCTGCCGGTGGGTCGACACTGCGGAACTTCATGTGCGTCATCGCGCCTTTGTTGTATTTGACACCGGCAATCGGTCGCCCATACGCGTCTTCGAGGACGGCTTTGGTGCCGTGGAGCGTGGGCTCTGCGTCCTGCGGAGTCATGGCGTCGTGGTCGGCGGCGGCCGACGTGAATGGGACGGTCAGCGATCCGCGACGACTACCACCGCCACGTCCTGGAGAATGGACAAGACTCGCCGTCGAGTGCCGGCGGTCGAGGCTCCCACGACGCACTGCACTCGATATGAGCTTATCCGACGAGCATAGCGCCGCCATCGTCGTCGCTTTCGACTGCAAGCTCGCCGCGAGTTTCGTCTTTCCCGAACATGGACGAAGGGTGTCCGGAGGCTGCATCTTCGTGTCGGCATCGATGGGTGCCAAGAACGGCCGCAGCGCGTCCATCGTGAGCCAGGCAAGATGTGTAACGGCCAAGGTCGCGAAACCGCTCTCGCATGAACTGGCGACCGATGGAGATGTGCAGTGTCGAGGCAAGTCGCCAGTCGATGCGTCATGCAATTCGTTAGAGTTAAGGTGCTTCTAAGCTAAAGTATGTGTGTTGATGATGCCATCCTCGTGGGGTGCGCAGGACGAACCCTCCCTTCGAAGGGGAGCCTCCCGAATGCCAGTCTCGTTGGAAGAGACCGCAGGTCGGCGAGCGGCACGACGTCTCGATTAGCGTGTCCACCATTCAAACTGTTGCAGCGTCACCCATGACACCCACGGATCGTGGCACGACCACAAGTGGGGGGTGCCGCCTGCGGGGTTGGCCATGTCGAGGCAGAACCCGTTGTGCGTCGCGTGGCGGAGTTGCTTGGTATTGCCGTCGTACGCCCACTTTTGGTTGCCGTTGTTGGCATCGCATGGCCACAGATGGACGGCGCCGCCATTCCATGGCTGGTACGCGTCCAGGCACAAATCGACTTTGTTGGCCGCGTCCCAAGTCACCACGAGCGGGCCGCGGATCGTCCATTGCGATGCCCAGTCCCAAACCCAGTCGTTGCCCCACCGCGCGTGAAACTCGACGGCTCGGTTCGGCGCAGCCGCCAGGACCTTGTCGTTAGCCTTGTTCACGAACACAACGCCCTTGATTTCCGCGGCGGGCGCGTCCCATTTCCACGCGCCGTTCGACCACGCGAGCCCGAACGACTTTTCAAAGTCGGTCGGCTTGAGCGTGTTGTCATGAAACATAAAGTGCGACGGCATGTTGCCGCCGTTCCCCTTGGACCACTCGAGAACTTGAAAGTAGTAGTTCTTGGCCGTGTCAAAGTTGGGCCAGTGGCCGTAGTACTGCGACCCGGACGTCGGCCACCCGGTCTCGGTCAAGACGGCGCGGTTCCCGTACGCTTTGTACATGGCGTTCCAGCGCGTCTTCAAATCTTCTAGGGGGTTCCATGTCGACACGGACGCAGCGCTGAAGAACGGGTGAATGTTGACCCCGATGAGGTCGCATTCGTTGGCGAGCGCGCTGGCACCGCCCCAGTTCCCGTCCACTTGGACAGATCCGACAGGGACCCACCCGAAGCCGGCCGCTTGCAGTCGTTGCCGCATCTGGCGGACACGACCGAGCACCGTCCATTGATCGATGCCAACGTGGAGCTCTTCGTTCCCGACAAACACGCCTTTCACGACCGACGGATTGCGACGCACGCCGTCCACGACGGCTTGCATGTCTGCGTTGATGCTGGCTTCGTCCGTGCGAATCCACACACCAGCGTAGATCTTGAGTCCGGCTTCCGCCGCGACGTCGATCGCGTTGCGGTACCCGCGGGTCTGGTACGTGCGGATGCCCGTGAAGCGTTGACGGATCGTTCGAAAGTGTGTCGCAATGTTGATATCGTTGTACGAGTCGTAGCAGACACTGATGTCATTGCCCGTGCCAAACGAAGCATCGGTCGTGTCGTTGGGGGCGTGCGTGTACATCAACGCGGCAACGAGGGCCCCGACCAAGACTAGGGCGGCAGCAGCCGCGACCACGGCCTTGCGCTTCATGGACCACTTGGCTGCCGGCTGCGCATCCTCGACCGAGATCCCCGTGACTCCGTCTTCGCAGTCGTCGATGGCAACCGCATACAGCATGTCGTTGCGGGGCGTTTGAATCACCTTGCCGCCGTCGTCGCGGGGGGTGACCACATCCATGTTTGCTTGTTCAAGGCGTGATGTGATTGTGGTGGCTTGGCAAGCTGCAAATCGCAAAGTGGAGCGCTTCATTGCCTGGACATGGCGAGGCACACACCAAATGTTGAAGGGCCACGAACTCGCTTCGAATTTCTAATAATAACCTGCCCGTCGTGTCACCTGATCGGCGAGGACGAAACGGACCACAAGGATTTTTCCCCGTATTCAACGCCATCGTGGGGACTATAATAATACATTACACTTAAAGTGACTTTTCTACTTGCTGCCCGAGTGGTGCATGGCTTGTAGCGAGCATTTTAATTTCTTCGATCGGTTTGATGCTTCGCGTTGGCTCGGACTTGGAATAAAATAGCCCTCTGCGCACTGGATGGCTTGAGTCGATTTTACTTGACTTGAGCTGTCTTGTGTCGCAGGGGGCTTTTTTTACCAGCGATTTTGGAATCGTCTTGGTATCGTGTGAGTCCTGTGCACTTGCCTGTAGGATGGCAGGTACAACGCCATCGTGGGGTGGTCGGGCGGTTCGATGCGTTGGGAGGTGGGATTTTTCCCCTGTAAGGTGGCCACGATCCAAGTACGCCACAGAGTCGGCAATCACAGGATAGAGTGCAATCTGCCACTTTCCATGCCGTTTTC